CACATAGTCACTAACACTTGACATTAATGGCCTTTTAAATTTTCGTCATTCTAGTGAGTGTGAGGTAGTTGATGACTATTGGAGTTGAACATCTTTTCATATATTTATTGCTGTATATTTTATCTGATGGAAGTATATCCTCAAATCTTTTGCCCAAATTCAATTAGATGTTTACTTAATGATTTATTAGAGTTCTAATACATATTCTGAATAAAAGGCTTTTGTAAGACACTTATGAATATTTTCTTCTAGTTTATAGTTTACTTTTCATTTTCTTAACAGTATGGTTTGAGTTGTAGAAGTTTTTAACTTTAATGAAGTTCAATTTGTAAACTTCCTTATTTTATGGCTTCTGCTCTTCATCTCCTATCTAAGAATACTATCCCAAGTTCACAAAGATTTTGTTTTGTTTTGTTTTAGAAGTGTTATGGTTTTAGCTCTTAGATTTAGGTTTCTGGTCTATTTCAAGTAAATATTTTGCATATGATAAAGTTATGGGTTGAAGTTAATTCTTTATTATGAATACTCAGCTGTTCCAGCACCATTTGCTGGAAAGAGTATTTTTTTCTCACGTTGAATTACCTTGACCATATGCGTGTGTATGTTTATGATGAGTCTGTTCTCTTCCTCTGAGCTGCGTATCTATACTTAAGCGTAGTGTCTTACTGTGATTTTACAGGAAATCTTGAAATCAGGTACTGTTAGTTCTCTCATTTTGTTGTTCTTTTTCATATTGTTTTAGCTACTCTAGATCCTTTGCATCTCTACATAAATTTTAAAACTGGCTTAGCAGTTTCTACTAGGATGTTGATTTACTTTGTATTGAATCTATATATCAATTTGAGTAGGAATACAAATTAATAATATTTAGTTTCTTTCCATTTATTTAGGTATTCATTAATTTTTTCTGCAATGTTTTATAGTTTTAAACATAAAGATCTTGTACATACTATGTTAAATTTATCTTTTGTTTTTATTTTTTATTTTTAATTTTTAAAAAATTTTTTTTATTGGTTGTTTACAACATTACAAAGCTCTTGACATATCATATTTCATACATTAGATTGAAGTGGGTTATGAACTCCCAATTTTACCCCAAATGCAGATTGCAGAATCACGTCGGTTACACATCCACAATTTTACATAATGCTCAATTAGTAATTGTTGTATTCTGCCACCTTTCCTATCCCCTACTATCCCCCCTCCCCCCCTCCCATCTTCTCTCTCTACCCCATCTACTGTAATTCATTACTCTCCTTGTTTATTTTCCCATTCCCCTCACAACCTCTTATATGTAATTTTGTATAGCAATGAGGGTCTCCCTTCATTTCCATGCAATTTCCCTTTTCTCTCCCTTTCCCTCCCATCTCATGTCTCTGTTTAATGTTAGTCTTTTCTTCCTGCTCTTCCTCCCTGTTCTGTTCATAGTTGCTCTCATTATATCAAAGAAGACATTTGGTATTTGTTTTTTAGGGAGTGACTAGCTTCACAAAGCATAATCTGCTCTAGTGCCATCCATTTCCCTGCAAATTCTATGATTTTGTCATTTTTTAATGCAGAGTAATACTCCATGGTGTATAGATGCCACATTTTTTTAATCCATTCATCTATTGAAGGGCATCTGGGTTGGTTCCACATTCTAGCTATTGTGAATTGTGCTGCTATGAACATCGATATGGCAGCATCCCTGTAGCATGCTCTTTTAAGGTCTTCAGGGAATAGTCTGAGAAGGGCAATAGCAGGGTCAAATGGTGGTTCCATTCCCAGCTTTCCCAGAAATCTCCAAACTGCTTTCCAAATTGGCCGCACCAATTTGCAGTCCCACCAGCAATGTACAAGAGTACCCTTTTCTCCACATCCTCACCAGCACTAAATTTATCTTTAAGTATTTCATGTTTTTGAAAGATGTTGTAATAGTATTTTTAATTGCAGTTTTTAATCATTTTGCTGGGATTATGTAGAAATCAATTTTTAAAATATTGACCATGTGTTCTGGAACCAAGTTAAACTCATTCTTAGTTGCTATAACTTTTGTGTAGATTCCTTAGGAGTTTCTTCATAAATGATCATGACAACTGGATTAAAAATCTATTTACATTTTATCTAATCTGTATGCTTTTATTTCATTTTACTCACTTTTTACACTAGCTATGACATCAAGTACAGTATTAAATAGAAGTACTAAGAGATGACATCCTTGCTTTGTTTCCTGTCTTAGATGGAAAGCATTCAGTCTTTCATTCTACCTATGATATTACTTGGTTGAGGAATTTCTCTTCCATTTATAGGCTTCTATGATGTATTATCTTCAGTGAATTTTGAAACTTTTTCAAGTGCTTTTTCTGTATTTGTTAAAATAATTATGTTTTTTTCTTTTTAATATGGTCATGTGGTGAATATATTGATTGGTTTTAAGATGCTTAAGTGGTCTTACATTTGTGGAATAAATGTTGTTTATGACATCTTTTTTATATATTTTTGGATTTGCTAATATTTTGCTAAGGAATCTTATGCTTATTTGTGAGGATATTGAAGTATTATTTTCTTTTCTTTTAATGTCTGTCATTTTTAGAGCTGGTATAGTAATAATCTCATAAATTGAAGAGTATTTGTTTCTTTTGTATTTTGGATTATGCAGAGTACATATTTTCTTTTAATGTTTGATAGAATTCATCAATAAAGGCATCTGGACATATGGAGAGTTAAAGGTGTGTGTGTGTGTGTGTGTGTGTGTGTGTGTGTGTGTGTGTGTGTGTGTTTTAAAAAAAAACCAATGAATTGAAATTTAAATAATATAAAACCATTCAAGTCATCTATTCTTTCTTTTTGGAAGAAAAGGTGCTAGAGATCAAACACCAAGTCTCTGAGCTACAATCCTAGCCCCTGTTTGTTCTTGAGTGAAGTTTGACATTTTGGGTCTTTCAAGGAATCCATTTAATTTAAGCTATATTTACATAAATTTACTCATACTCTTTACCTATTTTTAAATGCCTGTAGTTATATAGCTCTTATTTTTGTTATTGATAATTGTATCATCTCTTTTTCTCAGTTTACTGATTTTTTTCAAAGAGAAAGCTTTCAAGTTTATTTGATTTTTACTGTTCTTCATTATTTTCTATGTATTAGCTTTATTATTTTCTTCTTTCTATTTACATTGGATTTAATTTGTTCTTTTTTTCCCTAGGTTCTTAATGCAGACACTTGGATTATTGAGCTTAGATCTTTCTTCTTTTCTAACTGAAACACTTAGAAATTTTCCTTTAAAAACCATAGCTACATTTCACAAAGTTTTTTATGTTATATTTCTATTTAATTCAATTCAACATAATGTCTAATATAATTTGTGATTTTTTGACCCATAGGCTATTCAAATATTTGGGAATTTTCCAGATAGCTTTCTGTTATAGATATCTAATTTATTTCTCTTATGGTTAGAGAACATAACCTGTTCATGATTTCAAAACTTTGAAATGTATTAAAGTTTCTTTTATTATTTAGAATATGCTCAGCTTCGTTAATATTCAGTGGGCCCTCAAAAAGAATGTGTATTTCATTGTTGGGTAAAGTGTTTTTTATGGATGTCAGATGAAATTCATTGATAGTGTTTTTCAAGTATTTTTTATTTTTCCTGAATTTCTGTTTACATGATCTCTTGATTTATAAAAGCAGTACTGAAATATCTAACCATAATTACATATTTTAATTTTTTTCTTTTTAGTTCTGTCATGTTTTGCTTTATTATTTCAGAGCTCAGTTATTAGGTGTACTTAAGAATTGTTATGTTTCTTCATAAATTTTGAGCCCTTTATTATAAGGGTAAGAATTCTAGGTTAATTTATTTTTTAATTCTCAGTACTTTAAAAATGTCTTCCTGTTGTTTTCTAGCTTGCATAATTTTACATGCAAAGTCTGAATCATTCTTTGTTTCTCTGTACATCCTATGCATCTTTTTCCCTCATTTTTTAAAAAATTTTGTTGTCTTTGAACTATTTGATCACAATTATGTTAGCTCTCCCCACCCCCAACAGATCAGTTCTTTCTCTTGCTACTCATAGAAGTGTTGCTTAGGGATAGAATCAACAAATCTCAGGTATTTTCAGCTTCCTGCAAAAGTTCTCTGCATTAATATCTACTGCCAAGTAGCCACCTTGATTTATGAGGACTTCCAGTGCTTGACTGCAGGCTCATGGAGACTTTAGGATAGTTATATTGTTGATTGTACCAACACAAAAGGAATAGTAAAGTTTTACTGCTTAGTATAGTTAGGGCAATTCCCCAGATTCCCTATCAAGTTGAGTCCTGTTAGATATAGCACAAATTTTTATTTTGATGGGACTTGAAGTTAGTGTGAAGAATTTCAGCATCTTTCTCATTAACTAATTTTAAAAAATCCTACAACCTATAAATAGCCCAGTTAAGTGATGATGATAGTAATAAAAAGAATTGTAATAATATTTTATAATACTTTATAGCTTACAAAGTAATTTCACACACATTTTCTCATTTAGCTTTATGATTATTTGTACTGAGAAGCTATTGTAGAATTGCTAAAGTCAGTAAACATCTGCTAAAGAAAAAAAGATTTTATAGCTAGCCATTTTCAAAAGATGAAAAACAAAACAGAAACATGCTTTAAAGCCCTAGTATTTATTGTCATTTAACGCTCAGAAATTGTTAGTTTCAAATGAGATCAGTCTTTTAAAAGACAATTAAAAAAGACCAGAACAGACAGCTTCCCCTGAACTTTTCTTTTTATGTTCTTGGTCCTCTAGAATTAAAAGTAAATTTTCTTTCATTTTAAGAGGATAAATGTGTTCCTGTTGTACCAAGATGTTTTATAGAAAATATTGGTTGAGAAGAGGATTAGTCCCATATACTAGCACTTAATGCAAGAAATATTTGATGTTTTTTTAAATTTTTTTCCTTTATAGGAAAGTTAAGTCTGTTTTTGTTATTCTGTATTTTAAAAGATTTACCTAGTTTTATATATTTTGTGGCAGGCATCCTCACTCAGGGACAACTGGGCCTAGTAGATATTGTCTTCCAGTACATTCATTGTGATGAGATCTATGAAGCAATAAACATCCTGAGCAGTATGAACTGGGACACCCTGGGCCAGCAGTGCTTTATCAGCATGAGTGCCATCGTGAACCATCTCCTTAGACAAAGACTTACTCCAGAGAGAGAAGGTCAGACCTGAATATGTTTCACAAATTGGTTTTGTATATACATGAAGTACTTTTTTTGAGTTAGATGTTTTAAGACATTTTTGAGTGATGTTATTGGAGATTGAAAGACAAAAATGTTAATTCTCTATTAAAACTGAAAGGATTGGATAGCAGATAATTGCTCCCATGTAGTACTTACTATGTGGTATTTGTCAACATAAAGAACAACTTTTCTGTATAGCTTGTGTTGGAACTCACAATGCAGTCATTGTACAATTCAGTCTAAGTGTGAAATATGCTCAGATTTCAAACTTTGATCAGCAATTTCATGTACTCTCTTGGTCTGTGGACAAAGGGCCTCAAACAAAGGCCTTTATTACTCCTTCATATTAGACATCAATATTATTTTCCTCACATCCAAGTCCTCTGTCCAGACAATAGTCATTAACACTCACTTTGTGTGTGTGTCAGAATTGTATTGCAGAATTGCTCCTTCTTGTTTTCAATCTTCAAACTTGTGCTTTTGACACCTCTGTCCTTTCTGTCTGCTGGATTTTTCCTACCTTTACTCATAAGTAACTTTGCCCATAGGGATACTATATGTTTATTGTTAAAAAGAAAAAAAACCAAACAAGATATGTCACCTACAATAATGATAATAAATCTTTTATGAGGTATTCATTTATGTAATATAAATTGCATCAAAAATTTGCAACTTCATTTACATCTTTGTGATAAGCATTGATATTAATGGTGGGAAATCATGGCCAATAAGAAATTGACCATAAGTAATAAGACAGGAAATTAGGAAAAACAAGATATGTCAAAAGGTCCTTTACATTTTCTTTCTTACTATTTTCTGTGCATTTTTATAGATTTTCTTACTACATTGTTATTACATTTCCAAAGTAAGCAAGTTTTATTTTGATAGTGTTCTGTGGTTAATTTTCATCTCAGGAGTTTTAGAGAAGAATAATCAGTAATAACATACTGCTTCAGGAAGTCTGTATCAGGGTCTTGGGCAAACTCACAGAAATCCCATAATAATGATTTATTTAATAAAAATTGAATGGACTTTTTGGAGGTAGTACAAACCCATACATGAAGATTTCAGTGTTTCCACACTAAGAAAATTCCTTCCACAAGCCAAGTGAGATTGTACACACGTGTACTCTCAGCTACTGGGGATACCGAAGTAGGAGGACTGCAAGTTTGAGGCCCTCCTAGGCAATTTAGCCAGATCATGCCTCAAAACAAAATTTGAAAAAAAAAAAAAAAAAGGCTGGGGATGTAGCTCAGTGGTAGAGTGCTTGCTTGTGTGGCATGTACGAGGCCCTGGATGCAATCCCTGCATCGCTCCCCCACAATAGATACACTTTCACTGTCTTCTACAATGCTTGGCCCACAGAAGGTACTCAATGAGTATTAGATAACAATAAAAAAGAAAGTTTAACTCCAAGTTTATTAGAGTATAATATATTGCTGTAATATTTCTGCCTGCAGAACTATCTCAAGTAATTATTTATTAGTATTGATATACCTCAAAATTGGGTACATAACAAGAAATAACAAAAACAGGTTTCCTAAGGGAAGCCTATGATGATACATAAAATCTATATGAGAGACCCTAAATTTATACTTAAAGAAGAAAAGTATAAAAGTAGAAAAAGTAGAAAAGATAAAATATTGACTGTCAGGACACTGAGAAATTGCTGCACCTAGTGAATTTATGTTGTAAGATTACTATGTCATAAGAAATATTGTTAAGGAATACACAAATGGGCATTATCAGATTCTTGCTCTAATAAAGGATATTTTCAAGGAACCATATTGGGGAGAGAGGGAAATAAAAAGCTTTTATGATAGTAGCCTATTAAAATAAAATGCTTGCATGATGCTGGGTTATCAGAATATGTACATTTTAAGTAGATATGTGCATTTCCCCCTAAGTAACTACAAAACACATTTCTAAAACATTCAGAGTTCTTCTCTGTTGAGATTTATTCTATCTGAAGCTAACAAATTTGACATGGTAATTTGTTTTCCTTTTATTAGTGGAACCCAGTGAGCTCTTTTATTTGTAGCCGTGTTGTGGTTATCTTTGAGATCTTCATTTCTGCCTTAAACATCAAGCTGGGATATCTAATGAATCTATAACTGTGCTGGGAGTTATGAGTATTCCATGTAGGTTCGAACATTTCAGATGTACGAAACATGCTGTCAAGAAAACAAGCAATGGCAAGAGAATCTGGCTTGTTTTCACAATAGCATTGCTATATTCAATTTTAATCTAAATTGACTGCTGCTTTGAAAGAAAATACCTCTAAAGTTCATCTTACTTTACTGTCTAGATTTATGATTAAAAAAAGAAATTACTAACAGCTTAGCCAAGTCCATAGCAATTACTCTGATGAGGAATTTAATACTTTCAAACACAAATGTGCCTACAACTAAAGAGTTTTGCTAAATAATGAATTGTTTATTCAACCCAGTACTGGCAGCATAAAAAAATCAGAGGAGTCTAACTGTGAACTGTAGTGTTCTCATACATACACATACTCTCACCATTATGGTAATTACTTAACTTTCAGGTATTTCTGGGCTGAAGCACAGTCCCATAGGCATGTCTTGATAGAAGACCAGACATTTTTTGCATTTTTCCCCTATTTTCTATCCCCCTTGTTTATCAAAATGTGTATTTTCCCCCTAATCTCTAGTCCTCCCTGTTTATTAAAACTTGCTTTTTCAGTCCTCCTTTCTTCTCCCAGGGTGTTAGCTTTCATATGTGAACAAAACCAACAATCTTGTTGCTTAGGGCAGGATTTAGGAAAATATAGGGACTTTCACAGCCCTGTTAAAATTGCTGTAGAGAGGTGGTCTCACTGTTTTTATTTGTATTGTTGTTTTTATTTGTATTGTTTTAGAAACCATTTCTACTATGCTGACTTCAATTTCCCATGTGAAAAGGTTAGTTTTCTCTTTTCAGCTAAAAAGAGTAAATATTGAGCACACTGCAAGTTGATTTTACAGGAAATACTAGTTCAAACTGTGTAACTTTGATGAGTCACTGTTTTAATTACCCATTTGTGGTGAGAGGTTGGTTCATTATGGATTTCTTCAGTTTTGACAGCTTTTTGTTGCTCAGAGTCATTGTCAGCTTTGCCTCAAGTGAAAGTTTATACACAGGTTTGTTTTTGTACCAGCTGTCATATTTTAATTTCATCTTTCCTGCAACAAGCTCACATTTCATCCAAGTTCGCAAAACCTGACTGACTGCAAACACGAGTATTCTGTTGTAATTGAAGGAGTTTCACTTGTTTTAGTGCTGCTTTGTTTGAATTCCACAGCACAGCTTGAGGCAAGCCTTGGAACTTTCTATGCTCCAACACGACCACTTCTGGATACAACTATTTTGGAATATAGAGACCAGATCAGCAGATATGCAAGGAGATTCTTCCACCACTTGCTAAGGTGAATGCTATGTTTGGACTGATTTGTATCAGACTAACTACCAATTTCAGGAGCTGCCATCTTTAATGAGAACATTCCATAATCTGGCTATTTTTTGACAGTCCATCCCTTCAAAGAAAAACATTACTTCTCTTGATATTTTTTATTTAATGTGTTCTTATTTTCCTTTAAGGAAATATTTGAATATTGTTTGGGACTTTTACATCACCGGTATTCTTTTTTTTTTTTTAGCTTTACTATGTTTTCTAAGTGTGACCTGTATTCTTTAATATTCTTTCCCCTTTGATATTAAAGCAAAAAATACCAGCTATGTAAAATCAATATAAAAATATTAACTCATTTTGTTCCTAGCATTAGAGAAATGTTTTCATTTAAGTTAAAACTAAATATAAGAATATGATATAAAGTTCTGAGACAGTAATTGGTTTGCTTTACTTTCAGCATGACTATAGAAAGATTCATTCATTATCAAATAATGGGGCAGATTAATAATTTTACTGTACCTCATTTTCTCTGCTTTCCCTGGGTATAATATGTTCTTTTAACCTTGAGATATGTTACAAATTAGATAATAATGTCAAAAATTGCTCTGAGAACAATACTATAGAAATTGAAGGACAAGTATTTTAGCATTTATATATAAATATATATATATTTATATAAATATAGATATAATTCAGAAAACAGAACGGATGGATGGAAGGAAGATAAAAGAATGGACAGATAAAAAGAGATTAGAGCACATATAAATGTGATACCATATAAAAGAAAGGAAGTGATTGGCACAAAATTTAGAATGACGTAGAGTAAGTGAAAACAAGTATGACAGAACAGGCAGGCACATGGAATGGAATCCTCTAGGTATTAGTACTATGTTCCATTTGTTAAGATGAGTGGTACATATCAGGGTCTGTTAAAAATGATTACTGCTTTGTGTGTGTGTGTGTGTGTGTGTGTGTGTGTGTGTGTGTGTGTATGTATGGTATACTTTTGTATACAACATGTTTTAAAATAGAACATAATAGAATTTTCAATTGTGTATCAAAAGGAAGTTGGGTTGATTTTTGGAATTTTTAAATTTTACTAATAATGTAATCTGTTATAATGCCTTTTAACTCTTTCAAAGACTTAAATATATATTCTCTAATTTTTTCACTCAGAACAACCCTGTAAAGGGGGTATTATCATTTGACAAATGAGTAAACTGAGGGCAATATGGTAAGTGGTTGGATTAGATGAAATAACAGATTACTGATGGTGCTTGAACTGTTTTTTTTTTTTTTTTGGTCCTCTGCTCCTTACTCTTAAGACCATTTATCTATCGTTTGTTGTGTATATTTTAGATGCTACTTTGTAAAATAACTGAAAATGGTCATCCACTCAAGAGTAGGCTGATTGATAAATATACTTGACTGCCCAAAAAAGGGAGAAACTTCAGATTGGTCAGGGCTTGAGGAGATATTTTTTGTTGTGTAGATATTCATACTCTATACTTAATTTTCTATATATAAAGTGACACTTTGAACTCTACAAAGCAGTTAAGCCTTTGGAAAACAGTATTTTTAGAAGCTGAAGTGTAAATATATTGCAAGAGTTATTTTCTGTAATTGAATCTTGCCTTTTTATCTGAATAACTTTAGCATATTCAAGAGATTCTTTACCCTGAATGAGGCTGGCTTCCATGAATATGTCAAAAATGCTGGGGCTGATGTCACATTTATTTGGACCTAGGACTTTGCTCTCATTGCTATTTAGTTTTTCCTGTTTCTGGGTAATTTTAATTAATTAAGCTGCTGCCTGAAGAGTTTAAAAACATGAACATGAATAAAATAGAAGTTTTGGGAGCATATTCTTGATGGTTTTACTGTGTCTTTGATCTTTCTGACTTTATGTAGTTGTTTGGTTTTTGCCTAAACATCCTATTATGCAACCATCTTGCTGATCCTAGAATGCACATATTCTACAAATGTGCAAATTTTTTGTTCATTGGTTTTATTCAAATATAGTTTCCTAACTCTTTTGGAGCTACTTTTGATAAAGTGACTATTTTAAAAATAGTTTTTAGTTGTAGTTGGACACAATACCTTTATTTTTATCTATTTATTTTTATGTGGTGCTGAGGACTGAACCCAGCGCCTCACATGTGCTAAGTGAGCACTCTACCACTGAGCCACAACCCCAGACCCCTAATTATTATTAATGCTATCATTATTATTAGACTTTAGCTTGCTTTGTGGGTACATCTGAAAGTGGATGTTTTTCCTTGTGGTATACTAGCTTTTTAGTTTGTTTTTTTTTTAGTGCTTTCCTGCTATTTCATTTATAATGAATGTTTATCAGTTACTGTTTTGATAGTAAGCTATCCATAGCATTATGAAAAAAGAAAAGTAAGTTTAGAAAAAAATTAAATGAGATAGCTTAAGTTGCACCCATTCTTTTGTTTCATCTGCTGCCAAGAAGTTCTCCTGCTTAAGGGTAGAGAAACAGACCAAAGGCCTTTTGGTATTTGTGAAGGGCTACAATTGTATTACTCCCTGTGCTTTGATTAGTCATTTTAATACCCCTTTAAAAAGGTTATTAAATGATGAAACAAGTCCTAAACAGTAAAGACCATCATAGAGATTATTAAATTAAAGATGAAGAAAAGGAGCCTCATGGAGATTCGGGAAGTACCTAGGATCACTCACATGGGACTCAGATTGCCTGAATCCAGACTGGACTCTTCCGAGAAGTAAGAATTAAATATGAGATTGATTTTAATTTCATCCAGCATGGAAAGGATAGGGCCATAGTATGAATTTGGGATAATGGACAAGTATATTATGTAGATTATTAAAGTAAATGTTCTGAAGACAATAGAGGAATTCCACAAGCATGTTTTTGGTTTTTTTTGGCCTCTTTTGTCTTTAGCAAATATTAACGTTTACCTGAAAGCTTTCCTCCAAATTCAAACAAATCTGAACTTTAAAACTTATTTTTTCATGTTTTCTTCCTGGAATCTTTTTGTATGTATTTAATGTGATTGATTTTCATAAAGAAATGTTCCCTGGACATATAAATTTTTGCTTCTAAAATTAAAGACAGAAAGTAGTAGAAACACAGCCTTGATATGATAAAGTATTTATTATAATAAAATGTAAATAGATGATTTTGAGAAATCATGAAGCTGGAAAACTACAGAAGGCCTTCTTTGCTTAAAATAAGTTTAGAAGGTAATTATTCACCTTTCTTTCTCAATTAAATTGCATAGTATCCTGGAAGTACTGAATAGAAAAGTATTAGCTAGAGTTTTTAACCATAAACAAATAGGAACTATAATAATAATGTGTAAATTTTGATGACAAAGATTTCAAATGAATGTGCTACATGTGAAACTTATATTATTCATATGAAAATAACATATTTTCCCCTCCTTACTATATAAGATTATAGTTTTCTGACATCACAGTGTTATGCAATTGTGACACAGAGAATCATACTTTTAAAATGCTTAGAAAATAGTAAGCAAAATTTGGGAAAGGAAGCTTTATTTTAAGCAATATTATGTTTATGAAATCTTTATGGGAAAGTGTACTAATATTTACATTTTCCTTTGCAATGTAAAAACAATAAAAATGAATAGATGGATGTATGGAAGAATAGATAGAGGTGGACAGATATGTGATGAAACAGTATTATAAAATATAATGATAAAATCTAGAAGTACTTATTTTGTTAGGGCTGGTTGGGGAGGATTACCTTTCATAAGGGAGCTTTTTCCATTCCTGCCAAGGGTGGAGAATAAGATGGGGGGAGTCCTCTGCCATAAAGGCAATTTTTAAAAAGTTGTGATGCTAACCAATAAATTAGGAAACCAAGCAAAACTGACAGAACATAGACACAAGTCACATAAAGGCCATGCCATGAAAAAATTTTGTATACCTGGCCCTTCTTCCTCAAGGCTTCCCTTTCACAGCTAATCAGGTTGTGAGCCCCCTGGTGGGGGCGGGGGAGCAAAGAATCCAAATGCTGTGCATCTATTAGTCTAGTTTTCCTGCAGAGAAAAACCATAAAGAATTTATTAGGCAGATTTATTACATCTGGGGCTAGGGATGTGGCTCAAACAGTATCGCACTTGCCTGGCATGCACGGGGGTGCTGGGTTCGATCCTCAGCACCACATAAAAATAAAATAAAGATGTTGTGTCCACTGAAAACTAAAAAATAAATATTAAAAAAAATTCATTCTCTCTCTCAAAAAAAAATTTATTACATCTGAAAATATCACAGCTCAAGGAACAACAATGATATATAAAACATGAGCATCAATAACAAAGTAGACTGTGTCTAGCTCTATGAGATACATTTGTTTCCATTGTGTTTTTACAGTTTATTATTAGAAATAATAATCCTTTGTTTTATTATGTATTTAAACTTAACAGAACTGTGTTATATTCAAAAAACTATGAATTTGTGATGTAACCTTATTTCTAGTTATAGATAGCCCTCAAGCATCTGCTTCCTAGAGAAGGATAAGTATCATTCGATATTTTTTGAATTACCCCCAGTGTTTTTTCTTTCCCCACACATAAGTATGTTCACATAATAAAGGATTCAGTTTGCTGTAGATTCTGATTCTTATTTATATTTATCTCATTACATTTTATAGAAAAAGATACTTCAGTTTGGTCAGTACCTGGGAAATTGAGGATCATCTCTATCGAAATTATAGACAGATGGAGGAACAAATACTAGATTTTCTCAGACTTCCTAGTTTATGGACCTCAGAGTATTGAAGTGGTTGAAAAAAAGAAGATTACTTTGGTAAAATCTTTAATGAGCACTCTGATTACATGTGGTTATTGCTATGCAAGGGCACATGTTTGTCTTTTGGTTATTGATTTTATAAAGAAAAGTTGTTTAAACCCAAAGCCTTCCCATTAATTTAAGTTTTCCTGATCCTCACACTATACAAGGCCATTGCCATTTTTTGAAACATAAAGCTGCAGTTTTTTTCAAAAC